TATCGACAGTCTGATGTCAACTAATGATCTATGTTATCGACAGTCGGTATTATACCGAGTGATGTTCTGTTTTATCGATGTGGGGTAAGAGTTTTTTGAATTTTAACGTTTTTTAGCCCCTTACTCTCTCGATTACATCATGTTTTTACGTCATCCGACAAGTTTAGACCTGTTTTTGGCGTTGTCATCGTCGTCGTCGTTGGGAGGGGATCGTTGGTGGGGGGTTATACTTACTTGCCTCCAAATTTCAGTCTTCTGCCTGCAGTTACTTCAATCAGTCGTTCAGTTTAAAAAAAATTTGTGTCTTTTTTTAAAAATATTTAAAATTGTGTACTCTACGGACAATCAAGTAAGTCATTTATTTCATTATTCTATTTTATAACTAATTTCTACTATTATTATTCTTATTAACTTTTTTCTATCTATTTCTTAGCTTAATAATTCAAAAATGGATTTGAGTGCTATCAATAAAATCAACAACTTACCGAACTTTTTGCCAACTAAAAAGTTTGGAGAACTGCAACTGAACAAGATTTATCAAATCACGGAAATTAAGAAAGTCAATACAAAATATGGACCAAAAATTTTGGGAATTGTGGAAAGCGAGTTTTCAATTTTCTTCCCGAATCGAACCAACCGGATGCTCATTGATGATGAAGAGCAGTTAACTTCACTGATCGATTTGGCCTCAGCAGGAGAACTTTACTTGAATTATTTCGGAACAGCTTATCACAAGTTTGAATTTCTTATCAAACCTTTATAATCAAGAATAAATTATCAATTACTTCAATTAAATTTATGTTAAAAAATAAATTAAATCTATGTTACAATTCTAAATTTAAGAGGAGTTTTCATGAGAAATGATTTTTGTGATTTTGATATTTCTAGAGAAACCGTTGTTTTTATAACGGAAGAATGTTTTATTGGTGATAGGAAAGTTAAAGTAACATCTTATTATTTGAAAAACTTTTTATTAATAAGCTATAAATATTCCGAAGATGAACTGGATAGTCCACCAATTGAGGCTGCACTTATAATTCTTTAATTGGTCAATTATAAAGAAAGTGAAATATGGAAAACTTAATTGATTTTTTTTTACCGGTTATATTATGCCAAACGGTTCATTTGCAGTCAAGGAATTTTGTGTCACCAAGATTACTAATGAATATCAATTCAATGGTGTTTATGAGTGTGACTATCATTTATTTAAGCCTCCAATGATGATTACTAGTGCATCTGTTATTAAGCAAAATCTGGACTATAATGCACGTTGTCATGTAATTAGCTGGGATGTCGGTAAAACTGCGTATAATGTACTTGTGGGAATTTTTAATAATTTAACGTGTTATTTGAGCTATTTATGTGTTGAAGGTGAAAAAAACAAAGAATGGCTTGAAAAATTAATTGATGATCCATCTGATGGCTGCTATCCGCCATTTTGAATTGTGAATCTGCTATCTGGAGGCTGCTCTGACGCAATCTTCTAAGAATCTGACACAATTTCCCCCCTCTACACCGTGCTTTCGTGGTGATGATTGATCCTCAATCTGCTCGGTGAGATATCATCATTCAGTTTCTGTTCTTGAACTTGAGCACTTAAAGTCGAGAAGATGGAGATTTTTATTGATTTTGAAGGCTTCTACACGCTTGATGGATCTTTTATTGTCAAAGAGCTTGCTGTTATCTCGCTAAGTGATGAAGTGGATTTTTTTAGTTCTGCTGCGCTAGCTACTTTTAAACCACCAGCAGAGTACACCAATGAATTCATTGTCTTGGAGACCAAAGATTTTTGGTTGAGAAAGCATAGTATTAATTGGGATGAAGGATCATTCTCCTATACCGAACTCGAAGAAGTGCTGCGAGAGACTCTCAAGTACAAAAGATACATTTATGTTTTGAGTGAGGAAAAAAAACGTTGGCTTGAAAAGGTAATTAATTTTTCATCCGAAATGATTGATCTATCAAAGATGAGATTTATCAACTATCTTGAAGACTTTGATCCTATCCAACCATGTCTCCTGAAGAAAAATCACTTAAGGAAATGCAATTACGCTTGTGCGTATGAAACGGTGCAAAGAATGAAACGTTGGTTTCTCAGCTGTTGGGGTTTGAATCCATCGCTGGAAAAGTTGTTACAGCTTTTTTATCAGCTCCAGTCTTTAGTCAAGATGGATCCACAAGACATTGCCTGTTTGGATAAATCTTTTATACTTCAATTCACAAAACATGAAATTAATGCCATATGGTCAAAGCTCCCTGAGCGTATGAGGATGGATTCAAGATTTATCAATTATACAAGATGTACAGAGCATTATAGGACTATGTATGATGATGTTCTTGAGAACCCTTATCCATTGAAGAAGGACTGCTATGAATGTAACAATGTTAAATAAATTCTTTTATCAGCTAATGTATCTTAGAATAATTATTTTAATAAGGTTTTATAAATAAAAAATCATTAAATTATAAAGTGTTTTTTATTAATTATTAAATTAAGTTTATTAATTAATACAGGTTCAATAATTTTATTTAATTATTGTATTCATCGGTGAAATCGTTCTCTATCTCTTGCTGCTTGTTCCCATGGACCTTGCTTGTCTGGATGCAAAGTCCCACATATACATGTAATGTATGGTAGGTTTGGAATCAAACTGTACCATATTAAGTAAGTTTTCTTACAGTGCTGCTGATTGGATTGTATTCCACTATTCGGTCGTGAATTATTAAACAGTAAGCAGCAGTTTGATTTGGAAACTGCGCTGACGATTCAAACTCCAGACGTATATCGACAGGCCCAGATTTGATTAACTCGTTCTGCTTGGAACAATCAATTACATACAGTGGTGCTTTATTAAGAAAATTTTTCTTAGATAATAGTGGTTCAGCTTCTTTTCCATAGTAAGCACTTTGAAAATTAGTGTACATGTCATACATTAAGGCATAATGATTATGCGCAATGTTGAGGTTCAAATTTCCATATGGATAACTCTGTGAATTCAAGACGAGTTTAATATCTCTTATGTTGCAGTGGTCAAACTCGCTTGTATTTTGATTCGGTTGATTCTTTTTTCCTGTTTGAAATCCGAGGATGACAAAACGAGGTTTCTCATGCTGATCTGTTGTTTTGATCACCCAATTATGCTTAGTGGTAGCTGGTAGCAGTGGATACTCATACAATTCCCACGTCCAGAAACTGATCGGAATAGCTGGATCAGAGACTATGTAATTCAACACCTCAATTTTTTGCTTGTCAGACATTGTTATATACGGTACAATCCACTCAATTGTCTGGATTGTAATCGTTACATTTTCATCTTCAGCGGTAACATAAGCATTTTGATCAGTATTTGATCTGTTTAATATCAATTCATGCTTGGCATTCACGATAATTCGTTGATAATCTTCAGCAAATCCGAGGATAAAACTCAGAGGTATTAAGATATCAAAGTAACCACTACTATCAGTCAACGAGATATTATCTTCATTAACAATCCAACCAACATTTTTCAGAATATTTTGCTGTCCTGGACTCAGAGAAGCATATCCTTTCATAACACTGGTGATGCCTACATTCTTACATCTGTCAATTTCTACATCATTGAGATTATAACGTATCTCTCTAAACATATGACTGACAGCCATGTTGACCATCTTTGTAGTAGCACTTACAGCAGTACCATCATCTTTACTCATTCTTCCATAAAAATGTAATGTACTCTTGCTTGGGAGCAAGCACAGATCTTGATGCTGAACAGCAATCCTGATTTCATCACTGTTGTTAAATGTTGATGATGCGTATGGCATGTGTGAATGCGCTTCACAGTGTGCAATAGATTCATCAAAAATAATCGATTTTTTTATGTCTAAAATTTCCGCCATGGTATTTAGCAAGCTAGACAAAAAAAATTTAATTTTAGAATTTTTAAGCTAAGAAATTGATAGATAATAGTTAATAATTATAGAAATTAGTTATAAAATAGAATAATGAAATAAATGACATTTGATTTTCCGTAGAGTACACCATCTTAAATATTTGAACAAAAGACACAAGTTTTTTTAAACTGAACGACTGATTGAAGTAACTGCAGGCAGAAGACTGAAATTTGGAGGCAAGTAAGTATAACTCCCCACCAACGATCCCCTCCCAACGACGATGACAACGCCAAAAACAGGTTTAAACTCGTCAGATGACGTAAAAACATGACATAGTCGAGAGAGGTGGGGTTAAAAAACCGTTAAAATTCACGATGACGAGGCGAAAAAACAGGTTCAAACTTGTCGGATGACGTAAAAAATATGATGTAATCGAGAGAAAGAGGCTAAAAAACGTTAAAATTCAGAAGAAAACTCTTACCCCACGTCGATAAAACAGAACATCTATTCGGTATCAGACCAACTGTGGATAACATAGACCACCAATTGACATCAAACTTACCTCAAATCGATCAATAAACTTCAATACCTCCATTTAATCCCACCAGAGCGGCGTAAGTATCGATGTAATCGAGAGAAGAGGGAGTAAAAAACGTTAAAATTCACGATGACGACGCTAAAAACAGGTTTAAACTTGTCAGATGACGTAAAAACATGATGTAATCGAGAGAGTAGGGGGCTTAAAAACGTTGAAATTCAAAAAACTCTTATCCCACATCGATAAAACAGAACATCACTCGGTATAATACCGACTGCTGATACTCGATAACATAGATCACTAGTTGACATCAGACTGTCGATAAAACTTACCTCAAATCGATAAACAGACTTCAATACCTTCATTTCATCCCACCAGAGCGGCGTTAGTATCGAACTTTTTCGCATATACTTATACTACAAGTCATTTGAATATATACAAAATTCATCATCACATCAACACCAAAGCTGATACACGGTAAAGGTATCAGCTCTGCTGTTGGGGTGGTAGCATTTTGACCTCAAACAATCGACCAACAAATCGATGACAATCCCCAAAAACAGTCGGTAAGTAGAGCACAAAAAACCAACCATCGATATCGCAGAAAATCCACCAACAACCATCCATAAGGCAGAAACCCAATGTCGGTACTGCAGAAATCTACTTTATCGGGGGGGGTCAGACCGGCCTTGCTTAACTACTATCTTTTTAATATCGTTGAAATTATGAATAAAAAACGATTTCGTTTCACGAACGTTCGGAACTTCAGGTACATACATTTCCTTTGTGTGCCAGAAAACCTTTAATTTTATCAACTATTAGTGAAATAAAAATATTGGCTTAAAATGATTAAACTACACGGAAAAAAGAAAATAGGAATTTATTTGAGAATAAAATGTTAAAACAAACCCGTTACATTATAAATTATAATTAATAATGTAATTGCACGCCTCACAACGCAAACCGCAACATAACCCTTCGTTACTCGCGCTATACAGTGATTCCCCGCACAACACTACTCAACCTAATAGAGGTGGCGTGAATACCAGTGAGACAGAAGAGAAAGCGCGAGTAACGGAAGGTAAATAAATCAGTAATACTTCCCAAAGTGGTGACCCCTAGTTTTGAATAATAATTCGCGTTTTAAATTTCAATTTAAATCAGATTTATATCGCGTAATTTTTCTTTTCTTCTGGTGATTTGTGGGTATTGCAAATCAAGTGAATATTTTGTGCGCGTGTGATTAATCTTTCTTGAATTCAGAATCGATTTATTGAAAAAAATTAAAATGGTTAACGGCGATGAATTAAATGGAGGCAATGCGGTGACGGTAGTGGCCTCACAACGACTTCCCGAGTTCGTTGCGGCAGATCCCGAGATGTGGTTCGCGATGGTCGAATCTCATTTTTTAAGAAACCACATCATCGATAAGCAGCAGCAGTACCTACAGGTATTATCATCCATACCTTCGCGGTACGCGACCGAAGTGCGGGACATCGTTATGAAACCGATTTCTAATACCCTGTACGACGAGCTGAAACAGGAGCTTGTCAAAAGGCTAAGCATCAGTCAGGAGGAGAAGACGCGCAAGCTGCTTGAAGGAGTGAAGATGGGTGATGAGAAACCGTCGCAAT